ACCTAGCCTCTCACGTGGCAGCTGCCTGACTTCAACTCCAGGACCCACCCATCCCCACTGAAATCACATCTCCCACTTGCATCCCCACCAATTGGGGATTCATAGACTGATTCATTCAACATCCATTCCAAGGTCCTCCCCTTGCTTTCCTGTGCTCCCTGGAAACTGAATTACTGAGTCACATGAGCTTCATTACAGCCATGCGTGACTGTGACAACATAGTTCTCGACCAGAGTGTAGGTTGGTAGAAATCCCTGGGCTTCCTTCCTGGAATGAGGGCACAATGTCTGGAGATTCAGCAAGCATCCTGTAAACATGAGGTGAAAACCACCAGCAACTGATGGCAGAGCAAGAAAACAGAAGGGAGAAACCAAGATGGCGGCATAGGTAAACACCTGAAATTGCTGCCTCACACAACCACTTCAAAAATACAACTAAAAGACAAAACGACATCATCCAGAACCACAGGATGGCTGGCTGAGTGGAAATTCTACAACTAGAAGGAAAGAGAAAATCACACTGACACTCAGAGGAGGTGGGGAAGTAAAGTGCAGAAGTACGGAGGCGCACGCAGGAAGGGCTGGCAACTGAGGACATGGTTGTCTTTTTCAATCAGATGGGAGATACAAGCTCCCGACTGCTCTGAACTCCAGTCCCGGGCGAGTCTCTGGGGACCCAGACTCATACGGGAACAAACTGGACTGTCTGGCATCGGGCAGAACTCAAGGGCGGCTTTCTCTCCGAAGTGCTTGCAGCGATTACCGGGACTCTTAGAGTAGGACTGAGGAGCAGCCATAGCTGCTTGCTCCGCCCTGATGATCCCCTGAGACCCCACCCCACCCAAACTGTGCACAGAGGCTTTTTGCATATGAATAACCTGGCCCTTTGCAATCTGAAAATTACCTAACAAACTGCAGCTGGGTCAGAGAGACCCAGAACATCCAAAAGAAGGCCCAAGGCTCCACAGCAGCTTGCACTGCTTCACAGCTGGGCTTCATCTGGGCACCTCCAAAGCCCCAAAAAAGGAAGGGGAATCTGCAGATCTCTCCATAGCTCCTGCTGGGTAGCCTCAGGCAGAGGCTAAATTAACCCCTCCTTAGAGATCCAAGAGCCAGTGTACCCAGTGGTCAGAGTGGGACCATCCAGATTACAACTCCTCAGATCCATAAGGGACACACTCAGGGGGCAGACTCAGTGAGCACTAAAGCCCCACTGAAGCAAGTCTTGCCCCAGAAAGGTGTCTCCAGCACAGAAGTTCTCCCACTGCAGACACAGCTGATTCTCACAGCCAATGGGCCTGGAGGTCAATTCCGCCCAGTGATACCTACAACAATCAAGGTTTAACTACTGTGTTAAGCAAGTCTTGCTCCTCAAGAAATCTAGTGAGACCCTCGAGGATATGAAAAAGGACCAACTAGAAATTAAGCATACACTGACTGAAATAAAGACTACTATACAGAGTTCCAACAGCATACTAGAGGATTGCAAGAATCAAGTCAAAGATTGAAATACGAAGAAGGCGGACACTCCTGGGCGGCTAGCATGAGCACAGCGACCACGCCATCTTGGGAAACAGATGCTTGAGACTAGGATCCTGGCTTCAGCACCACCCAGTCTGATCTTGGACTCATACCGAGATCCTGCAGCCACTGGGGACAGAGACCTGTAACCACAGCTATAGACCTGCGGACACCAAAAGTTCAGAAATCCCCGCGGCAGATCCGTGAGTAACAGAGCCCATCCCCCCTTCCCGCAGGCTTGCGGGCAGCACCAGAGTAACTAACTGATAGACCCACCCCTTGCCGGGTGCTGCCACAGGAACTTTGGCTTGGAAGTGCGCGAGCACCGAGGAACTGGTCCTGCGTAGTGCCCACTTCAGGAGTACTGGGCTGGGAGCAAACGCAGGAACACTGGGAACTGGTCCTGCGCGCACTGCCTGCTCCAGGAGCCCTGGGCTGGGAGCAATCGCGTGAACACCGGGAATTTGTCCCGCGTAGCGCGGGCTCAGGGACCCCGATTCTCTGGGCAGGAGGCAGCACCAAGCACCAGTGACTTGACTGTGTTTCTTATCACCTGCGCCTAAAATCCCTGACTCCCTGTGCATTCATACTAAGAGCCAGTGACTCCAATTCTTGGTGCAAGGGCACACAGGGACCCTGATTCTCAATGCGAGGTCGCGCAAAGCAACAGAGACTCCGATACTGGATTCTTGGGGAACTCTGATTCCTAGCGCACGCTAGTGGCACTGATTTCCAACACGCTCCAGGGAGGTCTCTGTGCAGGCAGGGTCCCTGATTCTAAGGGTGTGCACGAGGCCACATTGAGTGCTGGCAACACTGACTGAGCTAGCCTGGTTCCCACCAACCCACAACAACAACACATCTTAGTGTCAGAGCTCTTCAGTGACACTAGGGTGGTAGGGGGCTCCCATTGCACACGGCCCAGGCCCACGCAACTCGACGTTTGAACCATCGGGAGATAATCAGAATGAAGAGACGACACAACACCCAGAGGAAAGACAAGGAGAAGTTGCCAAGAAAGGAAATTAATGAAGTTGAAGCATGCAACATGATAGAAAAAGAATTCAGAATAATGGTTGTACAATTCATTCACCGGATGGATGAGAACATCAACAACCTATGCAAGAATCAGGAAGAAATGAAAAGTGATATAGCTACAATCAAAAACACCATGGAAAGTTTCAATAGCAGACTAGAAGAAGCAGAGGGCCGAATTAGTGAGTTAGAAGATAAGGCAGAGAAACAAGCTCAATCTGAACAGCAACTGGAGAAAAAAATTAAAAAGCCAGTGGAGAGCCTAAGGGAGCTTTGGGACAACATGACACGAAGTAACATATGCATAATAGGGCTTCCAGAAGGACAAGAAGAGCAGCAAGGATTAGAAAATATATTTGAAGAAATAATGACAGAAAACATCCCAGATATGGGAAACAAAAAAGTTACACAAGTACAGAGAGTCCCAAGCAAGATGAATCCCAAAAGACACACACCAAGACACATCATAATAACGATGGCAAATGTATAAGACAAAGAGAGAATCTTAAAGGCTGCAAGAGAGAGACAGAGATTTACCTATTAAAAAACCCCC